TTTACCCTTCATGCTTCATAAATTTTATTTAAGTTATTTTTATCACAAATAATATTTTCAATAAAGAAGTGTTTGCAGAAATAACATTTTAATTCAAATTTTGATTTTTAAAAATTTTAAGTTTCAATTGATTATATTATTTATTATAGTAATTAATTTATAAAGCAAGAAATTTTTGACCAAAAATCTCCTCAATTTTGTTGTGAAAATAAGTAAGAAAGTTGACAGGATGGCCTATTTGGTAGGGCGTTGGATCTGGACACGTTAATCTGTTGGACACGTCAAATCTGTCGTGTCACAAAGTCCTCCATGTTCCCACAACAAATCAATACCTCTGGGGGTACTGAATTGGATATTGATCATTCTGTGGTTCAGGTCAAAATTATGATCTGTGAATGAATAAATGGATGCGTTAATAGGTCCGCCCTATAAACGGGCTGTGACGCGTGTGTGGCTGAAATAATACTCTTGACCATAGATGGCGCCACTGAAAAACAAGAAACGCACCGTTTGCTTTAAATTCGCTTGATTACACCAAGCAGGCCTGCTGGTTGGCAAGTGGCATTAAAAACAACAAGAAAGTAAAAAGAAAATTGGTTAAAAGTTCTTTGTAGACCTAGTTGAATGCCATCTTGCATGGGCAAGTTATGAGAGAAAAATTTAACTCAAGGGAGTTACTGTTACTTAAATTAAAATAAATAAGTGATTGATAATTCGCAAGGAAAATATTGTTCACATTTAAAGTCAATAAAAGCCTAAATTGATTTTAAATTTTTCAACAATCATAAAATCAGCAGGTTTACTCAACTACTAATCTTCAAAACGGTTCTTTTTCATTGCTAACTGATAGGTCTCAAAAAGAAAGTATAATCACCAGAAAAGGTGAATATACTTTCAGGTGATGTATAATCAATTTTAAAAAAAAATGGAAAAATATTATAATACCAAAATCAGAATGAAATACCAGATACCAGAATACCAAATAATATCAGAATGTTAGAAGTTCGGAATTTTTGAAGAAAATTACATAACTTTGCTGCACTTGTTTATAGATAGTAAACTAATTGCTAATGCAAATATTGTCAAAACTTTAAGTGATTTCTGTTAAAAATATTCAAATATTTGATATTATGCTAACAATTTTAAAATATTTTTAAAATCTGCTTTTGTAAAAAATGTACACGTCAGTGTGTACCTTAAAGAAAAAAATCCAGATTTTGAGAACATTGCGCAGGAAAATTTTACATTTAGCTACAACAATTTCTGAATATTTTTTTTTTATTATTTGCTTCTGTTTTTTTTTTATTTATTTATTTATTTATTATGCTTCTCTACCCAAAATATTTAAATTAACTCTTTGGATTATCTACATGAACTCAGGTGGCCAAATCAAATCGCTTTTTTGATGTTTATAGAAAATATTGAACAATTTTTAGAAATAAATTATTATTATAATTTTTCTAACGCCCACTCGTCATTCAGGTATCTCCAGGGCATACTTGATGGTCACTCCTTCAGGGGCACATATTAGATGAACCAACGTTGCTCCCGAAGTAAAAACAGATAGTACAGAGAATTAAAAAACATCCATGCCCCCGGGATTCGAAACCAGAACTTTTCTGATGTGAGGTCAGCTCCTTGACCACTACACAGTCCGGTGGTCAAATGAATTATTTTTAAACCTCGTTTAACAAAACTTTACACGGATGCCTATAAAATCATAATAACTATTCCGAAATTCTCAATTCAGAGCCGTGGTGTTTCAGGGAATAAAGTGATCACCTTCCAATGAAGTTCGAATCCTTGCGATGACTGGGTGATTCGAATTGAAGTTCAAAATTACAAGGCTACGGAGTTGAACATAAGTAATCGTAAACCAAAAATCGGATCGGCTGTTCAACGACGATTATATATATATAAAAAAAGTTACATTTGAACCGTAGTGGCGCAGGGGGTAGAGCGTTTGCCTTCCAATGAGGGTTCGAATCCCAGCTATTCCGCACCCGGCTTGCACCGACTACAGTGAGGGCGTAAAATATCCTCAGTGTTAGACGGATCATGGGTTAGAATCCCTTCACCGTCAGGCTAATGGTGGGAGATTTTCTAGGTTTTCCTCTCTATGTAACTAAAATGCGGCTTAGTTCCATCGAAGGCAAATCCCCCCCCCAATACTTCGTCCAGGAGTTCCCTTGTCTTTTGGATCAGGTTCAAAATTGCTAGGCTACGGAGTTGAACATTGGTACTCGTAAAACTAAAAATTGGGTCGGCTGTTCAGCAACGGTTATAAAATAAAATGCTCAAATCAAGTAATAACTGTCTCTAAATTCTTATTTTCAGGATCAAACTAACAAAACAAGATGCTCAATAGCAATAATTTGGTGGCTTTTACTCGATCTCTTAACGCAGCGTAAATTAAATGTCTAACTTTTCATGCTCATTTATTCATGCTCATTCAGTTTAACTGTAGCAGATTTAGATTATAGCATGAATTTAATTAAATAATAATAATTTAATAGTTAAGAATGTATTGCATTCTTTACATCTGTTGCGCTTACATGGGCCCCTGATGGTAAAAGAACAAGAGGAAGACCGAGGCTTACCATTCAGCGCATGTTTTTAGGCGAATTAATAGAATGTGGAATATCTGGCTGGGAGGAAGCAAGATCTATTGCTAGAGACAGGAGGCGTTGGGGGGATATGCTAGAGGCCTGAAGTGCCCAAAGGCAGGTAGAGGATAAGTAAGTAAGAATGTATTGCATATTAAATACTTTTATTTAAGGAAAGAAATCAGGCTATATGAGAAATTTTGTTTGCATTTTTAAGCCTTTTTTCAATCAGTGATAGTGTCTACTTCCAACGTAGATGTGATAAAAGGAACTATTAACTACAAGACACTTTATACGAAAGTATCAAGAAATAAGACATTCTTACTAGCATAAAACCATTCAATTACACCGAGAAAAAAAGTTCGATCAAAATTACCAGAATATTGTAAAATTGATCGTGTGGGAACACCAAAAAGCTCGGTAATTTTTACCGAAGCACTTCGGTTATGATTTTAGTAAAATTAACAACAAAATATAGTTTTATAATATGTTATAAAATTTGGTAAATGTGGTAAAATTTGGTTATTTTATTATGATACTTTAGAGCATGGCATAAAACCCATTTATTCGGTAAAATTTATTTTTTAGTTATGTATTTCTTACTAAATGTGTGGTAATAAGAACTATGATTTGGAAAACCATAATTTTCGGTAAACCTATACCTTATGAACGGAAAAATTATCAAATAAATGGTTTTATTACCACATAGTTAGGTTTTATTAGTCAAAAAAAGTTTTTTATTGCCAGAAATGTCATTACTATGCAGTAACTGTAATTTTACCAGAATTGTTTTCTCTGTGTATAATCTGCCATAAGAGAAAATCATGTCTAGTTTCTCAGAAACTAAGAATGAAACGAATATTTTAAAATCAATATCCAGCATTAAAAGGATGAACACCCCTTAAACCATTCTGTGTTTCCGAAAGTATCGCTGTAAAATAATTTTTTCAAACTATTAATACGCTAGTCTTCTAAGAAATTTAGGGTAATCAAATCCTGCCCATAGTATGTTTTGAAGTTTGTATGCATTTTAGACAATAACAAATTATGCAATCAAAAAGTTTTATTGATGGTTTCATAACGCAAATGCAAACTTTCACTATGAGAAAAATAAAAAAGTCAATAAATATTGTTATTATTAATTTTTTTTTCAGTTTCCCAACAAAGTGAATTCGTTTTTATCTCAGAAAAATTTTCGTTTATCGTTTTATGAAATCGCGAAAACCAGGACAGAAACTCTTTGGTTCTCTAAGAGCCTTCTTTTTTGCTTTAAAGTCGGAACAAAATTTGCCAGGCATGGAAAAAAGATGATTTTTAAGTTTCTGAAAATTATATAAAGCAAAACTCAATGTTTCCCCCGATAGTACGTTGTATAGACAATTGAAAAGCGTCATGGATAAAGACTCCAAGGAACATTTTTGAAATAATTACGATTTTCTTAAAGTAGAGAGAGCTTTATATAAAATATTGATTTATTTTGCCAAGTTATTGAAATATGGAGATTTCAGTAGATTAAAGTGCAAAGTGAAAAGCTTTTAGTGTTATTGGAATGGGAGTAAGTTTGCATTTGGCAACAAAATGTAGACGAGTAGTCTCAGAAATCTTTAAATAAAGAACGCTATGCATGTTAACTGTTTATGAGGATAACAAGTTCTGAACTTTAAAGCTAATTTACTCTATTTCCCTAGAACATCACATAAAACCTTTATTCATGAGCTTTTCAATAATTGCCTCTTTTATTGTTCTATTTATAATGATAAAATAAAAACATATTTTCAAAAATTGCCCCGTTAACCGAAAAGTTTTAAAGTCTAGTTATCGCACTTTAATTACATTTTACATACAATTACAATTTCGGAATTTTGTTTTTACAAGGTAAACTAACCATTATTTATGTAAATGAAATGTTAAAGTAGTGGTGGACTAGCTTAAAGGTCTAAAGAGTCATCGGCAGTTACACATTTCAACTTTAACTAATTTCGGAATTTTGTTTTTACTAGGCAAACTAGTCATTATTTACATAAATGAAATGCTAAAGCAGTGGTGGACTAGCTCAAAGGTCTAAAGAGTCATCGGCAGTAACACATTTCAATTTTAACTAATTTCGGAATTTTGTTTTTACTAGGCAAACTAGCCATTATTTACATAAATGAAATGCTAATAATGGTGGACTAGCTCAAAGGTTTAATATGACACAAGGTTTAATATAGCATAAATATGGCATACATGTTGGTGGGCGAAATAACATTTTTCTGTCTAGATGGAATGTACCAGTTCGTCAGAGTAATAACAGAGACACATGTTTATGTTCAACAATCATCATAATAATGTAAATCTAAAATGACTTACTGTTAAGTGTAAAAATCATAATAAATATTAAATTATGCCACTTACCTTAATTGAGAATGGCAACCGCAAGATAAGGAACTCTCTTTTTGCAAAGAATATTATCAGTTTCTCAAATTCACTTTACAATTGGTTTTAATAAGTCATCCCATTACTGACCGAGCATACTTGAGAAAAATATTCGACACAGTTTCAATTCATCTTTGAAAAATTTAAAGAAATTAAATCGAGTTAATTTTTTTTTAATACTATCCCATACCTCTTACATTCTTCTTAATATTTGTTGATTATTACTCCTGTTAATTCTTATTTATTCTAGAATATTATTGTTCTTTTTAAATGACTGATCGGTTTAAAGATTTCTAGCTGCGGTCACGAGTAAGCCAAAACTGCCGGAGGACTTAGCAGTCACCTGGATCCTCCAGTGAAAGGTGTGTCAATCAAACCCATCTTGTCACGCCCATTTAAAATATCATTGGAACCGAGCCTACAAAAAGGTGGGGTTATTTCTTTCTTAATAGAGCCACTGAAAATTGATCTATAGGTGTGTGGGCGTGGTTATAGGCGGAGACTCGATGGTAATGACACCACTGATTGTGGTTGTCGGCGAAAGAGCTTAAACACATAACAAGGTGTTGGATAGATTTTTTTCCCCTCTCTCTCTAACAGATTTTCAAAAGTGTGAAGGAAATTACGATTTCACGGTGGAGTTACAGTTTTCGCGCCGCACAAAAGATTAAACTTTTAGGGGTCTTTTTGATGATAGAATTGTGTGTCAAGCTCAAATTATTGTTTGAGATGAGATTGCTGTAACCTCGGCGTTATCTGCCAACAAAAGAGCGAAATGAAAAGGATTATTTGAATGAATGTAAAACGTATCATGGGTTTTATTATTTATGAAAGTTATCGTAAAAAAGTTTTTAAGTGTAAAAAATATGTAATTTAATGCCATAGAATATACACATAAAAGAACTGCTTTTCGAAAGAAAAAAAAAAAAAGAAAGAAAGAAAAACAGCGTCCCATTTGTGAGTTGCAAAGCGCACCAAATGGGGTTACCTCTTAAACTTTCTAACTTTATATTTATGCTTAGCGCTTTATGAAAACAACTTTAAATTCATAACTTGGAAAATAAAAAAAAATTATCTATTATTTAATTTAAGTAGGCATAATACTTAGAACACATGAAAAACGACTAATAATCGCAAGATTTGTTGCAAAATAAAAGCACTTCGGTTTTAAAGTGTTTGAAGATATCATATGCAGGGTGTTCCGTAATTACCACCTTTAATATGTATATATTTGGAATCTGAAGGGGGGAAAAAATAAAGATTTGCTAATGAAAGAGTTTTAAAAAAATCATGAAAATCGAATTGAAAGTAAGGAAGGTTGGTTTAGAAATATTAAAACCAGTTTGATTGCCTGTTCAATATTGAAGGAATACCAAATACAATGTAGACCGTTCAACGTGATTGCATCGGTATCTAAAGGTTTTAATTTCAATAAGCGGCTGAATCCACTAACGGAGCATCTACTTAACATTAGAAATAAGACAGTATTTTCTCCGTTAACGGTATTACGAGTATAAATTATAAAATTAGATTAATTAATCCTCAGTGGTTCAGAGGAAACATAAGATAACCCAAATTTGAATCCCAGATATGCTGGTCTTTACGAATTCTGCTCTCGACTCTCACAACGACCACAGTGTTGGCGTAAAATATCCTCAGCGGCTGGTTTATCATGGATCAGAATCCCTTTGTTAGGGTTAGGTTAACTATAGGAGGTTTTCTTCACTGTGTAACGCAAATTTGGATGAGTTCCATCAACATGTCCTCCGTGACGGCTAGTTTGCCCTGATACTTGTCTTCTGGGTTGAGTTAAAAATTACTAGGCTATGGAGTTGAACATTGGAACATTGATAGCCGTAAGCCCAGAAATGAATTAACTATTCAATGCCGGCCAGTTATAAAACTAGAGAAGATTCATCAAAGAAAATTAGCCAAATTTGTAAAGTATAATCGCCAATTAGAAATCTTAATTTAAGTTAGTGTACCAGTTTTAGTCTGAATTCAGTGTAGAAATACACAAATTAAAGTCGATTCCCTTCATTGATTTCTTATTGCTAATAAAATATATATATATAGGAAGGAGACCTTTGCTGTAGACAGAGTAAACTATATATAAACACTTCGTTATTCTCGTTGAAAAGAACTATTCCTTCCCTCCAGATTGATAATGAAGATCGATTGGCGAAGAATCGCTGAATTAGCTTAATCATCGGATCTTTAAAATCATACTATATAGTTGAGATTCAACTTTTTCAGAAAATTAGTTGTCGAAATTTCATTATTTCGTTAAAAATAAGAGTGAAATTTAATATTGAACGGGTCATCTATGTCTTCTACTATAGTTACTCTTCAAAATTATATCAGAGTAGACTTGAGCTTCAACTTAGTTTGAGACAAGCTGTCAAAATCCATATCGTTGTTAAAAATAAGACGGATTTTTAATATTAACGTGAGACACTTTAGATATTATTATATTAATTTATAAAGTAAAATCAATAATTTTTGGATATTAATATTTTCCTTAAAAATGCTCTTTTAAAATAATACCACATACTGTATGCTTACGCGTCGTCTGAAAATGACATGGCACTTAGGAGGATATTAATCAGCCTGTTGAAGATTGACACAGTAGCAGACGATTATTTTCAAAGACATAGTAGCAGACGATTATTTTCAAAGAACAGAATTTAAATTGCTGTTGAAGATTGTCGAATCATATTTGACCAGGTTGGCAAAAAACATTAAATGTAAAAAAGAGCATATTGTATTGGTGGTTCACGTTTTCTCTTTGTTTTTTAAAAGAATAAGTAGAACAGGCTTTTTCTTTTTTTTAGTTGAACTTTCTTGTGTTTTTTCTCACAAGGTGAGAATTTTTCGTTAAATTAAACATTAAAATTTTATTTGTTGTTTGTTTCGCAATATTTTTTCAGTGTCACATTTATGCTATTAATTTAGTAGTTAAGAATAAAAGGTTCTTTTGGCAACTACAACACAGCTCATTTGTAACAGAGAAATCGTTTTTGTATATTAATATTTTCCTCAAGAGTCTTTCCCTAAAAATCTATCCTACATGATAGATCTTTACATTTTTCTGAAAAAGGCAGTCAAAATCTCATATTTTTATTAAAAGTAAGACTGGGTTCTTTAATCTACACTTTATTATAACTCAATTGCACCATAAAAACTGTAATTTTTGGACATCAATATTTACGACAGGAATCAACCTTTCAAATTATATCACATACTGAAAAGTTAAGCTTCTTTGTCCGAAAATGGCAATCAAACTATCATATAGAAAAAATATGATTTTTTTATTTTAAATGTAACATTTTAGGTAGTAGTTTTACTCAGATGCTAGTAAAAATGACAAGTTTAGGCCATCATTATTCCCAATAAATCGCATAATTTAATGTGATATACTGTAGAGTTGAGTTTCAGCTTTGTTAAAAACTACCAGTCGAAATTTGATACTGTTGCAAAAAATAAAATTGAATTTTAATATAAAACGGAATGTTTCAAATAATAATTTCACACATAGTGATAATCTTTCGTCATAATTTTTTTCTTCTTCAAAATTTCAATTTTTCTTGAGTCGTTCCTGAAAATGATATATAATAGATAAGAGTTGAGCTTTTTCTTTGTTGAAAACTGGCAGTCGAAATTTATTAAAAATAAAACCGATAGCCATGCATTTATTAAAGATAAAACTGACTTGTGATAGTAAACGGAACACTTTAAATAATAATTCTATTTATTTGCAATGCAAAATTTATACTTTTTGGGCATCAATATTTCCCGAAAAGCCGACAGAACTGTGTAGGGGTCAGGGAACGGGCCTTGCGTCGGAAAGGTTCTGGATTCGAATCCCGGGTAAGGCATGGATGTTCTTTCATTCTCTGTACTATCTGTCCTTCCTGTGGGAGCAACATTGCCCACCTAATATGGTGCTCTTGGAAGAGTGGCCAACAAATCTGCCCAGTAAATGCCTGAATTGACGAAGTGTTAATGCATGTGGGCGATGGAAAAATGAATTAATAAATTTTCCAGAAAGAGTTACCGTTTACGATGATATTACGCATTTTAAATTTCATGTTAAACTTAATTTTAGACTAGTAGTCGAAATTTCATATTTTTGATAAAATTATGGCTGTGTTTCAGTAGACAATATATTTTAGATATTTATTCCGAAATTCTCAGCATTTGCAACACAAAAATTACAGATTTGTCATTTAAAATGTTCTGTCACAAAAGGGTAGGGATTACCAAGGGAGCATTTTAGACAGTAATTTGACTCATTTACGACGGAAAAGCGATAAATTTGGAACATTTGCATGTGAGAGAGAAGGGGGGGGGGAGAGAGACCGGTCCCTATTTCAATTGTTCTAAGTTTCTTCAAATAGTGAAATTACTTTTAATATATTTATCCTATTTCTTCTAATCTCACAATCTGTAGTTTTTTTTCCTTCTATTTTTAAATCTAGGTAATGACTTACATTGCTACGATTAACAAAATGTTTTTACATAAAACTAAAATAATTATATGTTTTGAAACCAAACTGTTCTGTTTATTTTGAGGATGATATTGACGTTTAAAAAGAGATAAACAATCATTAATAAGACTCAATTACGGGGGTAAGCGAGCAGGGGGGCGGTGCTTTCTAGTTTATTACAAAGTAATAAGGCTCAATGCTAATATTTAATGGAAGACTTTAAATATTAATTTCACTCATTTGCAACTTAAAAACTATAATTTTTGGAATGTTTTGCGCAACAGTCATTCTTTAAAATAACATATATTCTAGAGATGCGCTTTCTCATTATATAAAACTCACTTTATTATTAAAAATACATCAAAATTTTTATATTAAAAGGGACGACACGGATAATAATTTCACTTAAGGAAACAACGAAAAAGTGAAAATTTTTGTTCATCAATATTATCTCCACGGCACATCCCTTAAAATGATATCACAAATGATTGTAAAGTTGAGCTTTAACTTAGTCTAAAAATGGCAGTCGAAATCTCCTATTTTTGTTAAAATTAGGAATTTTAGCATTACTCAACACATTTTAGATGCTTATTCCATAACTACTCTCATTTGCACCCCAAAAATTATAATTTTTGGACATCAATATTTTCCACAAGGGTCATCCCGTAAAATGATATTGTTGATCAAATATCCCATATTATATTGTTGATCTTAAACTTTGTCTGAAAATGACAATCAGAATATCATATTTTTTATTTAAAATAAGACTGAATTTAAATATTACATGTTACACTTTAGCTTATATGTTGCGTAAAAATCATAATGTTTGCCCA